CTCAATTCCGTCTTTGGCGCCGGGTAGCGTCGATAGGCGTCTGGGAGTCGGTGAGACAGCGCCGATTTAGCGTCGACTAGCGTCGGTTTAGCGTCGATGAGCGTCGATTTAGCGTCGATTAGCGTCGATTCACCAGAGCCGACAAGATGGTATGGGAATGAGTTGCCACCGAAGGGGGTGAACGAAAGGGCCCTGTAGGAGCCCTTTAGGGCCCCTTTTGGAGCCAGCTGGTGCCCAAGAGGGGCCCTAAAGGGCCCCTGTAGGGCCGTCTTCTTCACCCCCCAGTTGGGTCACCTGGGGGGGGGTCTGGGTGGAGAGGGGGTGGGGTCTGGGTGGAGATCCTTGGTCACATCGTCGACGATGTTCGTTCGATGTCGTATCGTAAGCAGTGCGGCCCGAGGATCCCGTGCAAGACTCGTCAAAATGGTTCCGACGGTAGGACCCCGCATGGGAATCGATCTAGCTTGGCCCTCGCCCTCTCCTTTTCGCTCTGGTGGAGGCCTTCCTCCCGCCCTCTGCTTTGCCTTCTCCTCCTCCTCCTCCGCCTCATCATCATCATCATCATCATCATCATCATCATCATCATCATCATCATCATCATCATCATCATCATCATCATCATCATCATCATCATCATCATCATCATCAGCATCATCATCATCATCATCATCATCATCGTCATCATCATCATCATCATCATCATCGTCCTCCTCCTGCTCTTCCTCTCGCGCTCCTCGTTATACCTCTGATATTTATCTTCTCCTCCTCCTCCTCCTCCTCCTCCTCCTCTTCCTCTTCCTCCTCGTCTTTTACCTCTTCTTCTTCCTCCTCCTCCTCCTGCTCCTCCTCCTCCCCCTCTTCCTCCTTCCCTCCCTTCTTACCCCCATCCTGCATACTCTCCTCGTGCGCCTCTCTCTCCTCCTGGCCGGGGCGCGCAGAGGTTGATTCTCCTTGGCGCCGTCGCCGCCGCGGCAGGCAGGGGCGCGCGCTCTCCGATGGCCAGATCTGGAAGCCGTTTTGGAGCGGCCCTGCGGGCCAGGCCGTCGGGGTGCGCGGGGGCAAACGGTTGGGACCACCCCGCGGGCCCCGTTGGGAGGGGGAGGAGGAGGAGGAGGAGGAGGAGGAGGAGGAGGAGGAGGGGGAGAAGGAGGAGGAGGAGGAGGAGGAGGAGGAGGAGGAGGGGGAGGCGGAGGAGGAGAAGGAGGATGACTCGCCAGAGGAGCATCCAGTCAAGGGTCGCACTGACGACGGACCGGGCCCGCGAAGCCCAGCTCTGCGGCGGGCTGCGCCGCCTCGGCCCCGGGGCTCCCTCCGCTCTTCGTGGCGGCCCCGAGGAGCGCCCTCCGCGCGGGCGCCGGCGGCCCGCGCGCGCCAGGACCTCGCGCGGGGGCGGCCGCAGGGTCAGCATCATTATGTTCCGCAGGCGCGCGGCGCGGGCGAACACGACGCAGGCGTGCAGCCACCATTGGGGCGTCCGCCGTGCGCGTGCGGCCAGCGCTTTCGCCCCCGACGCAGGCGATGGCGACGCCCTGGCGCAGCGTCCGGCCCCGAGGCAGCGTGGAGGTCAGGCAGGACGCGTGCGCCAGGGTGAACCCCGAGCGGCGCACGACGTGCGGCCATCAGTTCTGCCACGTAGGCTCCTGCTCGCTGGGCCTGAACACGAGCAAGCTCCGCGCCTGCGCCTTGGCCTCGCCGTCGTCGTGAGTGCCTTCGGCTCCCTGAGGCAGCAATTCGGTGACCTTCTGGTAGATCGGGGGCTCCTTGGAGCCGCGCGCCCGCATCCAGATTCCCTGCGGTACGAAGCGGGGGCGGAAGAGCTGGTTTGGCGCGCACTCCCCGTGTTGCTGCTCGTCCTCGGGGTCGAACCCGACGGACACGATAGTGACCCCTTGCCCCTGCGCGAGCCCGAACTTGTTGTTATGATTGTTGCTTTCTTCATTTATTGTTGTTATAGTTATTCTTCTTATTATCATCATCATTATTTTCTTAATATTACTATTTACCTAACAGCGAAGACTGATAGGTTTCTAGTGGGGTCAAAAGAGAGCATCTTGACTCCCCAGGGGGGTCTGGGCAGGGTCCAGGGGATGCCGGGGAAAACCAGGGACTCCCCATTATTGCCAGGAGCCACATTTTGACTGCCCGGAGCCAACAGAACACCACTCCCAGGCCACATTTTGAATGCCCGGAGCCAACTGTAGGCCACTTCGTGTTCTTCGTGCTCCCAGAACACCATTCCCAGGCCACTTTTTGAATGCCCGGAGCCAACTGTAGGCCACTTCGTGTTCTTCGTTTTCCCACAACACCATTCCTGCACCGTATTTTGATTGCCCGGAGCCAACTGTGGGCCACTTCGTGATCTTCGTGTTCCCAGAACACTAGTCTTGTGCCATATTTTGAATGCCCGAGCTGAGGCAGGCTGAAGCCGAGGCAGGCTGAGGCCGAGGCAGGCTGAGGCTGAGGCTGAGGCACGCCGAGGCAGGCTGAGGCTGAGGCTGAGGCAGCCTGAGTCTGAGGCAGGCTGAGGCTGAGGCTGAGGTAGGCTGAGGCTGAGGCTGAGGCAGGCTGAGGCTGAGGCTGAGGCCGAGGCAGGCTGAGGCTGAGGCAGAGGCAAGCCGAGGCAGGATGAGGCTGAGGCTGATGCTGAGGCAGGCTGAGGCTGAGACAGGCTGAGACTGACGCAGGCTAATGCTGAGGCAGGCTGAGGCTGAGGCCGAGGCAGGCTCAGGCCGAGACAGGCTGAGACTGAGGCTGAGGCTGAGGATGAGGCCGAGGCAGGCCGAAGCTGAGACAAGGTGAGGCTGAATGGGGGGGGGGAAGGGGGGGGGGGAGGAGGGGAGGCTGAGGCAGGCTGAGGCCGAGGCAGGCTGAGCCCGAGGCAGGCTGAGGCTGAGGCTGAGGCAGGCAAAGGCAGGCTGAGGCTGAGGTTGAGGCTGAGGCTGAGGCAGGCTGAGGCAGAGGCAGAGGCTGAGGCTGACGCAGGCTGAGGCCGAGGCAGGCTGAGGCTGAGGCTGAGGCTGAGGCAGGCTGAGGCTGAGGCCGAGGCAGGCTGAGGCTGAGGCTGAAACTGAGGCAGGTTGAGGCATCCGTAGGAATCCATAGGAATCCTTAGGAATCCCTAGGAATCCTTAGGAATCCGTAGGCATCCTTAGGAATCCGTAGGCATAGTTAAGCATCCTCAGGAATCCTTAGGAATCCTTAGGAATCCATTGGATCCTAAGGCCGTTGCCACTGCGACTGTCATTGCGACTGCGACTGCGAGAACAGCAGAAGTCTACAACTGGATTCTCACCTGAATCTTAAGGGGAATGCTTCCAGATATGCTTATACACATCGCTGTTAGGTTGCTTTGCCGGGATAATCTTATTCGCATTATGATTCTTATTCAGTTCAGCTCCTCCTGCACGGTTGCGAACCGCACCTTCATGCCGATGTGTGCTGATAAGGCGCCGCGGATGTCCCCCGTCTTGTGCATGTTTGGGACGTTCCGGAGGCGCGGACCTGCGTCGGGATCGCCGTGAATCGCGTTGCGCCCGTCCACGGCCTGCAGGTCAACGAGGGGCACACCCAGACGCCGCTCAGGAACCCAACTGCGACGACAGTTGCAGGGTTCGAGTGACCCTTCTGCTTGGTAACATGAAGTGGGGGCCGGTAGCGAAAGGGCTCCCGTTTTATCCTTGCTTGCAGTTCGTTCACAGGGGAGGATCCCGCTCGAGACTTCCTCCATGTTCAGACTTCAGGAGCCCAACACTGATGACAGTTACAGGGTTCGAATGACGTTTCGGATCACTAGCGTGAAGCGGGAGGGCCGCGGGCCCATGGGCAGGGGGGGGGACCGGTCGAGGGGACCCACTCGATACTTCCTCGCAACCCAGTCACAGACGAGGCTCCCGCTCGAGATTTCCACCATGTTCAGATTTCAGGAACCCATAACTGGCGACAGCTATAACGCTCGAGCGACGCTTCGGATTAGCGACGTGAATCGGGAGGCCCATAGGGTGGGGGTTCCCGCTCGATAGTTCCTCACAGTTCATTCACAAACGACAAACGAAACTTCTGCTCGCGAGTCCCTCCATGCTCAGATTTCAGGAGCCCGGGAGCGACGATTGTTACAAGGTTCGAGTGACCCCTTCGGATTAATCACGTGATGAACGGGGATCCATGGGGAAGGGTCTCTCGTTCGAGACTTCCTCGCAACGCACTCGCAATATGCACTAATCATCGAGGCTCCCGCTCGAGGCTGTCTTAGGACGGTTGCGTGTGTGTGCGATGATGTTGTTCGTGTGATGATGACGATGTTGTTGCTGGTGATCACGATGATGCTAAAATGTCGACGGAATAGCGATCATGTTAAAATGGTGACAGTGATGACTGTGCTGAAGATGATGATCCTGGTGATGATGATGGAGATGATGGTGATCATGATGGTGATGATGGTGATGGTGGTAGTGATGATGCCGGAGGCCCACGCAGATTCATCGGGTCGGTGCTGGACTCCTATCCCTGGCGCCGCCAGGGGACCTCCAGCGCAGCCCTCCCACAAATCTGCGTGGATCTCCAGAAGTTCACATGAGCGACGCAACAAAGAGGGGTCGTCTGCGCCGACATTGGCGCGTAAGCTGCCCGCGAAAGGTCGCGCGTAAGTAAGCGCCCTCGTCTCCACTGCAGCGCGCCGCGCGGGCGGCCCGCGTAAGCCACCGCGTAAGGTCGCTGCGTCGTCTCGCCTAAGACCCGTTTTTGCTCGTCGCTCATCTGTTTGTGCCGGTTGTGTTCCTCGGCTCCAAAGTCCAAATTGCTTGAAAATGATAGAGAACAGCAACAAGTATCATAACAGAGAGTTTGGGTGTAACTCCAATAAGTAATATCCTCTAAAACAGCCCAAATTAGCACAAATCAGACCAGATTTAAGCAGAGACATATAAAACTGACTAACAGGGACTATATTCAACCAGAAAAAATGAGATTTGCACCCGATTCCCTGGGGGGAGAGCGCGCGCCAGGTGGTGGACACGATCGTGTACTGCGCCGCCGTCGGCGACAGCCCCAGCGGCGGCGCCGCCCAGCTGGAGGCGGGCCTGCGGCACGCGCTCGAGCTCCGAGGGCGCAGCGGCGATCTCTAGGGTGCGCCGCGCCACCCGAAGGGCCAGTCGTGACGGGTCGCAGCTGACTGCAGGGCCGTGCGCTGGCGCGCCCGACCCGATGTCGTTTGGAGGCAGGCCGCGCAGGCGACATAAGGCTGCTCGAGCCCCGCGGCAGAGGGATACTTAGTCGAGTAGCCCCGAGGGTGACGTCGGTGCCCTGCGCGTGCCAGCGCCGCCAAAGCTGCGGCCGTCGCGACGGGAGCGCTCGGAAAAAACGCACTGATCTGTGGAGCAGGATGGGCATGTCGGGCACGCGCCCTGGTTGCATCTTGACAGGCCATCCGAGGGAGTAGAGGGGAAGTTCGAGGCTGCGATCAGTTCAAGCAGTGACGAAACGCCATGGTCTGCCTAGAGGCCCACCAACACATGTTTCAGGGACGTCATGTTCGTAACATGCCCGTGTAATATTCGTTTGTTCCTACAAACCTCGTCAAACAATATATTGAGACGCCGTTCAGAAGCGAAGCGCCCGAGAGTTCGGGCACTTGTCAGAAAACGCGTTCTTTGATGGCACTGCTGGATGTCGGACCCCCCGCGAGTGTGGGCAAAACACTTCATGTCGGCATTGGAGTAGCGCCCACAGCGCGAGCGCCCAAAACAAAAATCGTCAACTAATTTGCGACGAGTCTTGTGGAACATGCTTGGCTGAGACAGCCCTGTGCTCAGGCAGTGATCTTACGCTCTGCGAGCACGGCGTTGTTGTTGGATCGTGGCCTGCCTGGGACGGGCCGCCCCCGCTCGAACGGCACCGGCCGCGCGCAGGGAGTCGGAGGGGGGCGGGGAGGGCGGCGTCGCAAGAGGTCGGCCACGTGCAGATGTGGGGAGGAGCGGTCGCCCCTCCCCGGGGGGGGCGCCGTTCCCAGGCTCGCAGCGGCGCCTCCCCACGTTTCGGCCCCGAGCCTTCGTTGGGCTCTCTCTCTCCCCGCTTCCCCCCAGAGGAGGGGCGCTCCCCCGTTAGCGGTTCGCTGCGGGGCGTCCCCTGCCCCATCTTCGCCGGCTTCTCGGAAGCACCCCTGTCTCTTGCGGTCGGAGCGAGGTATACCTAAGATCGAGGTCGGTTCGGGGAGGGTGCCCGACTGTTCTTCGTGCCTGTTGGATGTTCTTGTGCATCCTGGGGAGGGTACCCTCGAGTGTTCTTGAGTTTGGCAGGCGGGGGGCCTCGTCTTCCTGAAGCGTGTTGTTCTGTCCTAGGTCCGGCCGTAGGGCTTCTCAGAAGCACCCGTGCTCCTTGGAAGGCGCGGGCGTTGTCTGTGGGTGTACTTAGGGCCGGCGCCTTCTAAGAAGCAGCCTCTTTCTAAGAAGCCGCCCCCCCTCCCTCCACCCCCTTTGTGTGCGCTGCCAAGTGTCTCGGAGTCCTGCCCACCGCCTGAGAGGTCTTCTCGGAAAGGTCGAAGCCTTTCTGGGGAGCCCCCCTTCTTGCACTTCTGGCCCAAGTTTGGGCTGCACTTTCGTGTGGCGTGTGGCAAAAAGACCACGGAGGACCCGTGTCACTCAGCTACAGAATGTTCCCTGCCCCGCAGCAAGAAAGTTCACGAGAACCTCCACATTCGGCAGGGCCTTTTCCCTGGCTGCCACGGCGCGGATGTTAGCGAATCCCGGCGAAATCCTCCTCTTTTTTCTCCTCCTCCTCCTCCTCCTCCTCCTCCTCCTCCTCCTCCTCCTCCTCCTCCTCCTCCTCCTCCCCCTCCTCCTCCTATCAAGCTCCGCCGCCGCCTTGATCCTCCCCGTCCGCCTGCCCTCTTCCTCCGCCTGCCCTCTTCCTCCGCCGCCTCGCCTTCTTCCTCCCCCTCCGCTCCAGCCCCGCCGCCGCCGCGATCATACCCCTCCGGCTTCCTCCCCTCCCCCTTCCGTCGCTAGGGGAACAAAAAATGACACAAACATAAAAACTCGGAGGTCCGCGCGGATTTCTCGGATCGGCGCTGGGGCCCCCCGGCGGCGCCTCCGGCGCCGCCCCTGGCGCGCTCCGCGCGCCAGGGAGGGGGATCCAGCGCCGATCCGAGAAATCCGCGCGGACCTCCGAGTTTTTATGCTTGTGTCACTTCTTGTTCCCCGACTCGCCCAGCCGCTCGGAGCGCGGAGAGGAAGCCAGCCTTCTGCAGGCCCACGGGGCGCCTGGGGTTCCCCGTCGCCTTGGCCTGAGCTGTAACTTTCGTTGGACGCGGTGGGGGGGCCTCGCTCCATGAATGAGAACGACGAAGCAAAACGGGGTCGATTGCGCCGACGTTCGCTCGTAGGGTCGCGCGTGAGCGCCCTCGTCCCCACACGGTGTGCCACGCTGCCAGTCTGCGCAGGCCGCGGCGCGAGCTCGGCATACACATGTATACGTTATCTCGCGTATGACCCGTGCCTCCCTCTCTTCGCCGCTCGTTTTCGGTGTTAGCCTGTTCCATCCCCCCTTCCCCTCTCCTCCAGATTCCTCCCCTTCCCCTTCCCTTAAGTCGATGTCCCTCTACAGTAGGAATATGTTGTAAAGATCGTCAAACGAATAGTCTGGGGACGATTGTTCGACTGTGCTTGACTATGTTTGACTATTAGTTGACTATGTTTGATTTTTCTTCCAAAATTCGCCTGTATGAGGACATGCCTCCTCCTCCTCCTCCTCGTTCTCCTCCTCCTCGTTCTCCTCCTCCTCGTTCTCCTCCTCCTCGTTCTCCTCCTCCTCGTTCTCCTCCTCCTCGTTCTCCTCCTCCTCGTTCTCCTCCTCCTCGTTCTCCTCCTCCTCCTCCTCCTCCTCTTCCTCCTCCTCCTCCTCCTCCTCCTCCTCCTCCTCCTCCTCCTCCTCCTCCTCCTCCTCCTCCTCCCCCTCCCCTTTTGGCAAAGTTTGCGTCAGACATCGACTCCTGGTCCTCTCCCCAGCTGCGCCCGGTCCCAAAGGGAGCCTTCGCGGCGGAGCCGCCCGTGGCCGCCCGGGCGCCCCAGAAGGCCCAGAGAGACACCGAATGCGATCCTCGAGCCCTCGAGCCCTCGAGCCCTCGATCTTGGAGCCCTCGAGCCCTCGATCCTGGATCCCTCGAGCCCTCGAGCCCAGGCCTCGATCCTCGAGCCCTCGGCCCCTCGGTCCCCGAGCGCTCAAAGGGTCGGCCCTCGGCCCCGGGCCGGCCTCGCGCCTCCCGCCAAGGGGGCCGCCTCCCGCCGCGGGGGGCTGCCCCGAGCCATGTGCCGCCGCTGCTGCCGGCACCGGCGCGCAAGCTTCGAGCTGGGCGGCGGTAGCTGGGAGGGGGGGGGGGGCAAGTGGCGCGACCGAACAACAACGAAAGAGTCAAAGAGGAGGAGGAGGAGGAGGCGGAGGAGGAGGCGGAGGAGGAGGAGGCGGAGGAGGCGGAGGCGGAGGAGGAGGAGGCGGAGGAGGAGGAGGCGGAGGAGGAGGAGGAGGAGGAGGAGGAGTGAAAGCGGTTACAGAGCCGTCCTCTTGCCGGAGGGCACGTAGGGGCGGGGCTGGAGCGCGAAGGTAGCCCACCTGCCTTTGGCTTGCTCTTCGTGGGGCCCCCGGCTTAGCATACAGTGGAGGCCCATGCCTCAAGCAGTGGCGTAGCGTCCTGGCGTGTCTATAGGCCCACCAAAGAATGGTCTAATAACCTTTTGTGATTTGCACGAAATGTTCTTAGAACATTTCTGGCTGAGTCTGTCTTCTTGTATCACATCGGGCTTATGTTCTACGAACATTGTTTTGGTGATTCGAACATTTTGGGGTTCTAGGAGCATGTCGTGGTAGGCCTATAGGAATGCCGGGACGGTCGGTCCCTGCTCAAATGCCAAGAAACACTTTGCTTGCCTCCAGAGTGCCCTGGGTTTCTCGGATCTCGATCGTTTTGCCACAAAAGCCGTGACGTTCCCACACCAAAAATCCGTGGACGTCCTGGGTTGGGTTTTTTTGTGGAAGGTTTCTTGTGGTCGAGCTCCTACTGTACACAGGTGGGGGCAGCGAGGGCTGCCGAAAAGGGGCCCTCCAGGTCCCCTGAAGGTGCCCTTTAGGGCCCAGGAGTGGGTTTCTAGGGCCCGAAAAGGGCACCTTCCCCCCCACCACCCCTTACTTACCGCCCCCCATTAGTTCGCGCCCAGTCGAGTAGGAGATCCGCTGCGGTCGGACCGAGGCATGAGATCGAGGTCGGCTCGGGGAGGGTACCCTGATGTGCTTCGTTTTTTTGTTTTGTTTGTCGGATGCTCTCGTGCATCTTGGGGGAGAATGCTCTAGAATGTTTTGTGTTTTTGGGCCAGCGGAGGCTCTCATGTTCTCGGAGGGTGTTATTCTGCCCCAGGTCCGGAAGTGCATCACTGATCTACCCCAAAATTGCTTCGTTCGTCGAGCCGACGAAAACACGTATAATGCTCGTACGTCGACGAACGTTCTACGCATTCGCTTGTAGTTCCGAGGGAAAGCACCCCTGGGGTGAATCAGTTCTGCAGCCGTCCTACCCCTACTGGGCAGCTACCCGCGTGCGGGCGCGCGTGAGCGCCCTCGGTTCCACGGGGTGTGCCGCGCGGGCGGCGCGCGCGGGCCGCCGCGTAGGGTCGCCGGGCCATCTCGCGTACGGCCCGCTGTGTTTCCGCCGCCCCGCTGGGGCCAGAGCAGGTCGGGGGTGGACAGAACCCCCAACAGTGACACGTCGAGTAGTGGATTGTCCGTTTTCGGTTCTCGAGAGGGCGCCGTGGCCGTTGAACTTCCAGGCTTGCGCCCGCCAGGTTTGGGCCTCAGGTCGTTTTCACTAAACCACGTTTTGCTGAAGGGGGGTCTGTCCATCCCCGAGCAGGTGGACATGCGCCCGAGTTGCGCGGCGCTGATGCTGCTTTGGCTCTCCGAGGCGGGGGCGCTGGCGGGCGATGCCGCGAGGGCGGCCTCTCGGATGGGGCCGTCGCCCGGACGAGGCCCGTGGGCGGGCTCCGCGCCGCACCGCCGAGGCATCGGCATCGGCGGTGCGGCTCGATGCAGAGCCCGACGACGGCATCGGCATCCGCGCCGACGGCGGCGATTCGTCGCCGACGCCGCCGATGCGTCGCCGATGCGTCGCCGACGCACCGGCGCGTTCCTCCGTCCTCATCTGCTCGGACCCCACTCGGGAGACTTCGGCGGAGGCTGGGCCGCTCGGGCAGCGCCTCGGGGCGGCAGGGCCCTCTCCGTCCTCTGCGCGGGGGGGGGGGTCGGGCATCGGGGCCTCCGGAGCCTCTGTGTTGCTGTCCGTGGCCGCCTGGGCTCGAGCGCCCGTGGGTGCCCAATGGTGCCCGACGTCCTGGTGCACCGCATGCCGTTCCAGCTCCGCCCTCTTGCGCGCTCAGGCTGCGTTCCCGGGCGGGCCGCTGGGCGGGCAGCGGAGGTCGCCGGGCAGGCGGCAACGGTGGGTGTGCTGTCAGTGCACGCCGCCGTCGATGCTGCTGCGGGAGGATCAGTCGAAGGAAGGGTGCTCCGAGCGGCCAGGGGGGGGAGGGCGGCAGCGGCGGGATGAGGCCAGGCCCGAGGTGCGGGACAGCGGTGCCTCGTACGGAGCTGGGAGAGGCATCTCTGGGTTGCCAACGGTCGCGGGTGTTCGGGATCGGGAGCAGGCACCCCAGGGTTTTGGTACTGTCCAGCTCGTTGACGCAAAAGGCTCCGAGACCTGTCACGAGGTAGTTCGAGCTCTCTACGGGCATATACAGAACGGTGCTGCCCGCTGCAACGGCATCATCTACCACAAGAAGTATGTTGTGCACGTGCCGGAAATTGACCTTGCCGAGCTGATGCAGGTGAGCGAGAGTCACAGCGTGATGGAGTTGCGCCGTCAGATGGAGCGGCAGACGGGACGACGCGCTCCTCGCCTAAAAATGTTCCATTCCGACGGATCGAGCTTGAAGCGCGCGTCAGCATCGTCGGGCCACATGTTGTCCTCGCCCACTGTTGGCGCAGGGGCGCTCGGCAGACATGAGGAGCGCACCCACGGCGAAGGAGGTTGAAAGGATCGAGAGGGCACCTGTCGTGACTAAGGTCACCACGTCGGAGAGCGTCCTTGCAGTGATGGAGGAGCCCAGCATGGAGAGGGCTCCAGTCACCATGCACGATCTTGACAATCCTTCCCTCTCCTCCATTTTTCGTCCTCTTCTCTCATCCCTCCTCCCCTGTTGACCGTTTTTTTTCTGCGCGAGCGATCCTCATACGAAGATATCCAAAGAGGGCCACGCTTGTGCCAACATGCAGAAGCGCTTGCACATTCCGCGTGGCTCCTTTCTCTTGGGGTGGAGGGTGTGGGCAGGTGGAGGAGCCGGGAAGACACCAGGAGTGGAAACCGGAGGACTGCAAAGAGCGCGCTGCAGTGCGCCACCATTCTGACAGCACGCTTTTTTTTTCTGTTGGGCAAGGCTTGCACGATTTTGGAGGCCAGCCTCGTGAGGCGCTTTCTGGTTCGCCTCGCAGCCCTGGCCTCGGAGCGCGAGGCGGGCTGCGCTTTGCGAGCAGAGGCGTAGAACGCAGGGAGCTCATGGCAGCCTCGCGCTCTTTCTTCCATCCCCCACCTACTTTCAAGAGGGGAAAAAACACACACAGACACATGTCATCGTCGACCCCCAGGAAAATATTGGAAAATATGGGAAGTGGGGGGAGGACAATAACCCAGAAACTACGGGGAAATATGGGAAATCTTGTTATTTGTATGTATTTATTCGTGTGTCCCTGGGCCCCTTCACATTTCCTTTTCGTCATTACGGCGGGGGCGTTCGATAAAGAATGTGCCCCGGAGGCTGCAGACCCTGGAGGCTTCCTTCTCTGACGAGAGCGGCGGCGACATCCGTGGCCGATCCACGGTTGGAGTTCCACCAGCTTCCAGACCCTGGGTTCCTCGTCGAAGGTTTCCTTATCCAATGCCATCGCCGTGGTCTTGCCTCACGACCTCTCGGAGCTATCACCATCCTCTTCCTCGGCCCACCTCTCGCCGAGCGGTGCAGGGCCTCGTGCGTCTTCTGTCCTTGCCGGGGCCTGCCAGCCCTCGGCCCCCCGTGCCGAGATTCGTCTTCGCCCCCCGCGCTGCACAGCTGCACGATCCGCCGCTCCACGTCGGAAGGTAGCGATGGAGGTTGCAAGCAGCCGAACTCGTCTCGGAGGTTGATAGACCTCCTACCCTGACACGTCGATTAGCGAATTGGCCGTTTTCGGTTCGCGAGAGGGCGTCGCGGCCGTCACTTTTGCGGGTCCAGGTCCGTCGGTTTCGGTCCTAGGCCGTTTTCACTACAGGGTGGTTTACTAAAGGGAGGTTTATCCACAGCCGATAATCAGGTGTTTGTTCGCTGAGCTTAGCGCCAGTGACTCGTCGGCCCGACATCCCGCTTCGCGCCCAGTGACCCGGCTGCACCAGCGCCCCGCGCCGGCCTGTCACGCAAGCAGCCAGGGCACCGGTGCCCTGCTGCTTTTCAACTGTCAGATGTGGGTGGTGGAGGTGGTGGTGGCCTGGTGGAGGTGGTGTTTGAGTGCAGGCGTTGTGTGCCCTTAGTCGCTACCATGGCGCCGCGACTTCCCGGCCCCATGCTGTGTTTATCCAAGAGGCTCACGCCATGTCGCCGACCCCCAGAAGAGGGATGGAGCCCACGGGTGAGGCCTCCTCCCTCCCCCCTCCTCCCTCCTCCCTCCTCCCTCCTCCCTCCTCTCCCTCCTCCTCCTCCTCCTCCTCCTCCTCCTCCTCCTCCTCCTCCTCCTCCTCCTCCTCCTCTTCGGGGCCCTCTGGGGGCCTCTTTTTGGGGTTCTTGGGGGCCTCTTCGGGCCACTCGGGGTTTCTTGGGCACCTGCTGGCGGCCTCGGGGGTCCTCTTGGCGCGGAGGGCTCGGAATAGCAGTTCGGGCTGCTTCTCGATGGCCATCTTGAGCGCCTCTGGGGCCATCTTAGGGAACCTCCTCGGCCATCTTGGGGCCCTCTTTGGGGGCCTCTCGGGCAGTCTTGGAGCGACCATGGGGGCCTCTTGAGCCGTCTCGGACGCTGTTGAGATCAAAAATGCGAATATGTTTCAAAGCATCGGTTTTCCGAAGGGCTTGGACGAGTCTTGTTTCTTGGCCCCTCATCGGGGGTCGTCTTGGAATCGTCTTGGGGCGTATTTGAGGCTTCTTAGGCAGTCTTGAGGCTATCATGGTTGTCATTGAGGACTCCTGTGCGTGTTGGAACCCTACTTTCGCAAGCGTAGATCGATTCTTAGGCATCTAGGAGGCCACAGAGTGTAGAAATGGAGGCTCAGGGGAGCGGTGGTGAGCACAGAGACCTCCCCCCCTCTGGCCACCCCCGCACAATCGGATTTCAAACCCCAGGGGAGGGGGAAAGGGGAGGGGGACAGCCAATCATCTCACACGCCGTTGCAGCCCCGGCAAGCGGGGGTCGGCCGAATATAGTGTTTGCCGCCGCGTAGGTGCACGATGACAACCCGCTTCTCCTCCATCCCACTTCCTCCTGCTCGCTCTCCTCGCTACCGCTTGTGCCCCTCCGCGCTCGACCTGCCCTGGGCCACGACAGCCCTGCCATGGCGAGCCGCTGGCGCCGCGCCAGATATCGAGCCCCTGAGCTCCAGCACCCACCCCAGGAGAAAGCAGGAGAGGGGAGGACGCCAGTCAAACCAGCGGAGGGATCGGCCCGCGCATACCCCCCAGATCATGGGTGGATTGGGTGGGGGGGAGCCGCACGTACGGGGGAGGAGGCTCTGGCCAGGACCACAAAAGCAGCCGGAGTGCAGCTCAGTCCGCCGCTATCCACTGTGCTTCTCCGGCATGGCCCCCGCAACTCGCTTCTCCTGTCCCGCCGCCGCCGTCGCCGTCGTCGTCCTCCTCCTCGTCCTCCTCCTCCTTCTCCTCCTCCTCCTTCTCCTCCTCCTCCTCCTTCTCCTCCTCCTCCTCTTCCTCCTCCTCCTCGTCCACCTCGTCCTCCTCCTCCTCCTCCTCCTCCTCCTCCTCCTCCTCCTCCTCCTCCTCCTCCTCCTCCTCCTCCTCCTCCTCCTCCCCTGTAGCAGACAGATGTGATGTGCAAGTGCATGGAAGGCTGGAAGGCGGGTGAGCCGCGTGCGCGCGCAGCCTGCGGCAGGCGCTGTGGCGCTGAATCCAAGTCCGGCAAGCCCTTCCTCCTCTTCATCCCTTTTTCCTATCTCCTCATCCCTTCCTCATCCTCTCTCCTCCTCCTCCCCACATCCTCCTCCCTCCTCCTCCTCCTCCTCTCTCTTCCTCCTCCTCCCCACATCCTCCTCCTCCTCCTCCTCCTCCTCCTCCTCCTCCTCCCTTCCTCCTTCCTCCTCCCTTCCTCCTCCCGTCCTCCTCCTCCTCCTCCTCCCTTCCTCCTCGCTTCCTCCTCACGTCTCCTCCTCCTCCTCCTCCTCCTCCTCCCCTCTCCTCCTCCTCCTCCTCCTCCTCCTCCTCCTCCTCCTCCTCCTCCTCCTCATTCCGTCTTGCAGTGCACATGATTGCGCTTGTTTTAATCTGGCCCGTGCCACTTTTAAGTAGCCGGATGGCGCAAGAGCCCCGCGATGCATGGTGATTGGGACTACCGCGCAGGGGCGCGTTGCCATCATCATTGTGTCGGGCCCCTCGCTCTCACCTCTCCCTCTTGCAGTCCACGGGATGGCTCGCTTGCTGGGCTGGTCATGCAGCTTGCAGCTGGATGGCGCACAAGCCAACCGAGGCAAATTGACCAGATCGGCGGCGCAAGAGTGCGAAGCCACCATTGTACCATGCCCCTCCCTCACATCCTTCCCTTTGGGACACGGTGCGCGCAAGCGACGTTTCACGATGCCCGGCCCCTCTGTCAGCCAGAGAGGTGTGTGACCGAACAAAAATGTGACCAAAAACGTGCTCGATGTCATGCTCGAGCAGTAATGCGACCGACACTGCGACCAACATTGAAAGTGTGTGGGAAAAAACACAAACACACACACACACACACACACACACACACTGTGGGAACAAAACACACACAGTGTGTTTTTTTGTCCCACAGTGTGTGTGTGTGTGTGTGTGTGCGTGTGTTTCCCCACAGTGTGTGTGGTGTGTGTGTGTGTGAGTGTGTGTGTGAGGGTGAGTGTGAGTGTGTGTGTGTTCTCACAGCATTAGCTTCGAACCAAACATGTCGGTCACACTCGGCCGCGGTCGGAGCGCTGGGCGCCGGTTTCGGCCACGCTCGGGCAGCTGCCTGGGCACGGCTTGGGCCTCTGCTCTGGGCCTCCTGGATGGGGTCCGAGCAGATGGGGTCGGAGGTTCGTGCCGCATCGACGATGTATCGGCGATGCGGCTCGATGTGAAGCCCGATTTTCTCCACGCTGTCGTCGCCGATGCATCGCCGATGTTGCCGATGCATCGCCGATGCATCGGCGATCTATCGCCGCTGCATCGGCGATGCGGCGCGATCCTCCGATCCCATCTACTCCGACCCCGTCTAGGATGCTTCTATCTGCACCCCCCTTGAAAGAGACGAGGCTGGGTGAGACACTCAATGACGAGCGCAGCGAAAAAGAAGTCCCTGGACGTTTTGAGCTACACATCCTCCAGGGCCTTTCGAACGCCCGGGGGCGACGTCTTATTGGTCCTCCCGCGGCGCGGCCTCGAGGCCACGCCTGCGCCGCGAGAAAGCCTGGCCAGAGCGCATGCCGTGAGAGGTCCGGGGGTCGATGTTCGAGAGCCTTGGGACGGGGGTCAATGCAAAGGGGGGTCAGCCAGAGCGCCAGATCTTGCAGGGTCCTGCAGGGCCAGGGCCGCACTGATCCAGATTTGGGCGCAGGATCCTGTCGGATCCTGCAGTGTCTTGCAGGATCCTGCAGGGCCTCACCGACCCGGGTCTGGATTGACCCGGGTCAGAAGATCCCCGAGATGTTCGACCCCCGAAGGTCCGCTTTTCCGCCTGCGTTCCTACCCCCCCATATAGCGGCGACGCTCGAAGGAGAAACAGCGCCATAAACATTAAACTCTTGGCTCTCCGCGCGGATTTCTTGGATCCGCGCTTTGGCCCCCCCCGGTGGCGCCTCCGGCACTGCCCCTGGCGCGCTCCGCTCGCCAGAGAGGGGGCTCAAAATCAGATCCAAGAAATGCGCGCGGACCGCCAACAGATTTTGCTTATGCATTTTTGTTCCTCTAATACAGCGGCTACACTCACGAGCGAAGTTTCGCCCGCTGTCCCCGAGCTCGCCCCCCAAAAAAATTAGGCCGCTCAGAAGAGAGCGGGGAATCTCGGGGATGCGCCTTCGGGGGGCTATTCGGACATACCCCCTAGGATGAAGCTCCTGGGAGGTTTGGTTCTGTATTGGCGCTGTTTTTTTTCGCGGTCGATGGCCGGCTTAATCTAGGCTCATCCGGCTTAATCCGGTTCAATCCCGTTCAATCTGGCTTGCTCTGGGTTTAATCCTGGGCTTAATCCGGCCTCATCCGGCGAAACGGCCTTTCAATCGGGCCCACTCGCCCTTAGTCGTTCCAGCGAAGACCTTCCAGGAGTTGCCTTCTAACGCCCTTATCGAGGGTGGACGTCCTCCCGTCGTATATCCTCGCGTTTGGCCTTTCATCTCTGTCCATCCGAGAACCCCACAGAGTCGGGGATAATTAGGGGTCGACATGCCCCCCTGCTCGACAAAGGCGACGTGGTGGAACTCGCTCGGGAGCGCCCTCGTCACGACTGCCGCATGCTGCGGCCTGCCACATGCCCGCACCGTGGCAGCACCGACAGGGCCGACCACGGGGCCACAAGCACCAACCGCCGACAGCCAGGCACCGTTTGCCGGCGCCCTGCGCCAGGGGGAGCGAGGAACGCGGGGCGCCGTCTCCTCAAAACGGGGGCCCAACACCACAGGATGGTTGGGAAAAGGCAGCCCATGGTGGGTGTGATCTCGTTAAGCTCCAGCGATAGCGCGCAGCTTTTGCCCGCGCTCATTGCGTCGCCCACGTAGCGCTGAAGTGCTGTGGTGGACAGGCACACGCTTGCGCTAACAGACACTCTGAGGATCATCGGCAGGCGTGAAGGGTGGGGAGTCCTTGCCCACACCACAAAAAACTGATCACATGACGTCAGATGTCTGATGCCCGGGCTCGCGGCCGAGAGGGGAAGGGGGCTGAGGCGGGAGGACGGCAGGGCGTGCCGTACGGCTGCGCATTGGCAGCCCCTGGTGAGGTCTGACTGGCTCGAAGAGGCTCCCCAGGATTGCCCAGGGCGGTCTCACTGTCTCACCCCCAGGGTCTGTAGGCAGCCATTTTGGCTCACAGCGGGTTCCTTTTTTTGACAGGAGCAGTTCCCGCACTTTCACTAAACTTGCTGATGGTCTCCGTGGGTTCATTCCAATAGCGGGTTCACACTTGCAAGAGCACGATACCGATGACTTTCCGTAGTACTTTTGCCAGGGTGGTGTCGCACTGGCTGCTTGTCGACCTTGCCGAGGCGCTGTCTCTCAGGGAGACGAGCCCAGCTCTCCTGCACAGTGAGGCCGACATCGAGCCCACCAACCAGGCCCTTCACTCCCGTCCCGAGCGGCACCGCACGTACAGGAGGGTGGCCGAGGGCGAGTCGGTCGAGGTCGAGCAGCACCTCGAAGCGTACCGCAAGGCCGGGCAGCTGCTGGGCCAGGCTCAGAACATGTACCACTCTGGGCACATCCTGCGGTTTGTGATGTCACACCCGGAAGCCCCGGTGCTGCCCCCGGGCGGATGCCTCTACCTCCCCAACGACGGAGTCTGGGCGTCCTTTTACCAGCACGTGGAGCATCCTTTCCCCGACCTCTTCGCTGAGATGATCGCTAACTCGTACTATCCAAGCTGCAACGAAACCTCCCTCTCTGGCCTGAGGCTTCCCGCATCCTGCGGCGACAGGACCATGCGAGGCTCCAGGGGGTGCTTCGAGGTGAGCAGCCTTGGCAGCGCCACTGGCATCCAAGTTTTCGAGACCACGGGCCACGTGGGGCTGCCGGGCAAGTGGTCCTACCACATCGAGAACGCAAGGCCACACCAGCTGAGGCACGCGAAGGAGAGCGATGCCTCGCCTGCCCGCTGCGGCATGTCACACGAGCTGCCCGAGGTACCCGCCGCCAAGAGGCTGGAGATCCCGACGAGGTACGTGGTGTGCCGGAGGTCAGACGCCGACGACAGCATCACCGAGGATTCGGGGGTCTCTGGAGGTGGCCCCTGCCCCCAGGTGCCCCCAGTTTCCCGCCCTCCGCGCGAGCTGGGAGCCCGCAGGGCCCGTCTGGGCCTTGCGGCGGAGGAGGAGGAGGGGTGGGAGGGGAGAAGGAGGAGGAGGAGGAGGAGGAGGAGGAGGAAGAGGAGGAGGAGGAGGAGGAGCAGGTGGAGGAGGAGGAGGAGGAGGAGGGAAGAGAGGAGGAGGAGGGGAGGAGGAAAGGAGGAGGAGGAGGAGGAGGAGGAGGGGGAGGAGGAGGAGGAGGAGGAGCTGAGGAGGAGAGGAGGAGGAGGAGGAGGAGGAGGAGGAGGAGGATGGAGGAGAGGGAGGAGGGAGAGAGGAGAGAGGGAGGAGAGGAGAGGAGGATGAGGAAGGAGGAGGAGGTTCCCCCCGGTCTCCCCCGCGAGTTTGGAGCCCGCAGGAGCCATCCAGGCCTCCCCAGAAAAGCTGTGGCTGTCTTGGGCCTGGCATTTCCCCGAGGACATGGTCCGGGAGCAGAACAGGTGGGCCAACGAGGCTTTCAGGGGTGCCTCGCCCTGGGAGCGGATGGGCTTCGACAAGGTCCGAGGCGGGGATTTATCCAGGGACCGACCACAGCGATGTTTAGTTAGGTGTTGGCCCTCGTTTGTTTTTCGTGTTGTTTTTCGTTGTGTTTCTGTTGTGTTGGTCGTTCTTGTTTTAAACGCGTTTGAATTCAAAATTTTCTTTGCGCGATGGATATGCTTGGTTTATTTTGAAACAGTTGCTCGTTTCTGCATATCTGCCGCCCGTTGGGGCACCAGGACGTCGGTTCCCAGGCGGTGGATATCGATACATCCCTGCCTCGCACAAGGGTCGCCCAGTTTCCGTGGACATGCAGATCAGCTTCCAGCTTGTAAACATTTCAATCGTGACCAACGCAGATTGTGCCAAGTATGGATTCACAGATACAGCCCGACTGTATGAATACAACAAAGACTCGTCCAAGTATTTCACGGTTGTCATCATCACGAACGACGCGTCTGGCGTCTTGGGCCAGACAGAGTTCCCGTTCGACATACCAGAGGACAGCCCAGACCACATGGTCATAGTTTCGTCCGTCGGATTCCGGCACTTCGCCAGCCACCAAGCCGATGCGGTTGGGGTCACGATGCATTCGAGCTTGATGTATGACGAGGGGGACACCGTGGTGCACGAGACTGGCCACGGGCTCGGTCTGTACCACACCTTCGAGAGGGGTTGCTCCAACGGCGCAGTCTCCGAAGGCGGGACACAAGCTTCTTGGCGGAGCAGCTTCGCCGGAAGCAGGGGCGACATGGTCGACGACACGAACTCAGAGAAGCTTCCGCACTATGACTGCGCCGTGGACATGTCATGCGGCGAAGTCGACCCAGTCCACAACTTCATGGACTACTCGCCCGACTCTTGCATGATGGGCTTCACGGAGGGCCAGAAGCGCCGTGCCTGGTGCGTGCTTGAAAATCACCGGCATGGCCTCTATGAGATGTCGTTGAAGGAGTAGGCGGTCTGCGTTATACCACCAGCGGAGCCGCACCCCCTGAGTTCAGGGTGGCGCTTGTGCGTTGCTGCCGGCGACAGGGCTGGGCTGTGGCGAGGCGGGCGAGGGCGCATCGCGGCGGCGGCACACTGTTTCGAAGCGGCTCGGTGGTTGTCTTTAAATCCAAAAACGCCCCAACCCTTGGGCGCTTGGTCAGTGGGCGCCGCCAGGGGCGGCGGCGTGGCAGAGGGGGTCTGGGACGAGGAGGGTGGCTTCGTGCGTGGACATCGCGGCCGGGGCCACGAAGCCTCCCAGATAGCATGGCCCCCCCTTCTTCCTCCAAGACGCCTCATGGCCCCCCTGTCCGCGCACGTGCCTCGGGCCATGATGCGCTGACCTGCGCCTCCCTGGCCCGCCTCCGCGGCGCACCCGAGAAGGGGGTGGGCCACGGCCTCCTGGCCCCCCGAGTGCCCCTTCGAAGCCGGCCCTGCGCGGCATACGGGCCACTGTCGTCCTCCTCCTCGCTGTCCTCCGCCTCCTCCTCCTCCCCGCCCTCGTCCCCCTCCTCTTTCCTCTTCGTGCTGCTGGTTCACCGCCTCCTCCTCTTCCTCCTCGCCCTCCTCCTCCTCGCCCTCCTCCTATTCCTCCTGCTGCCGCTCACGGCTGAAAGAGACGATGTCTGTAGCCGCCAATCCGGCCCCACCCCACTGCCAGCGCCGCGGGGAGGGGGGGGGTTAACGAAGAAGAAGCAGGTCAAGGCCGGGGGCAAGCCAACACCCACTCCCATAAACTCCTACCCCTCCTCCCCTCAGCTGCTCGAGCGTTCCCTCCCCCAGGAGCGGGCACGGCGCAAAAGCGCGCCCGATCAGCGCCTGCTGAATGGTGTACCGACCTGGCAGGGCCAGGCCCCTCTATGGCGGCCCAACTTGGGGGGGCGGGCGCAGCCGAACGACCCCCTAATCGCAATCCACCCAACCCCGTCTTCCCCGCCTCCTCCAACACCCGCCCCTTACTCCGTCACGCGGCAGCCGCGTCGGTGAGATACACAAGAAAGAAAAACATTGGCAGTGCGGTGCGGCGAAGCAGACTCCTCCGCCACCGCCTCCTCCGCCTCAGTCCCCCCACCTCCTCCTCCTCCTCCTCCTCCTCCTCCTCCTCATCCTCCTCCTCCTCCTCCTCCTTTTCCACGACCCCATCTATCATGCCACGCTGGACCTGGTCTTGAACTACGCCGCCTGGATTTGGGATGGGCGTGCATCACCAAGCCGCCTTCAAAGGGCTTGGACAGCGCTCATGAGCGGCTTGTCCCCATCAGTTGGGCCAATGCCAAAGATCCCCTGGCCGCGACGTGGTTGACGCTCAGGCGGCTAGCCTTGGACATGAAAGCGCCGCACGTCTTGCAGGATGACCTGGGCAACCAGTATGACCTGTAACCCGTGTGTGCCCTGCTGACCTACGTCAGTTTTTTGGTGCGAGGCGTGCAGCGCTGGCAGCACGACCGCCTCACCAGCCACATGTTCTCCCACGCTGGTGCGCCCATCTGGCACCGTGGGCCCAGGTATGCGGTCAAGGGTGTCCGTGCCGCAAGGCAGCTGGGAGCGTTACAGGCGCTATGGTCTGACAACATACCCATCCCGATCCGCAGGGGCATGAAGCCAGGCATGCTCGTGCGCCCCTGTCAGGCTTGCGGGAAGGCCCTTGCGCCCGATGAGTGCTGGGGCCATGTCTTCTTGGAATGCCCCGCGCTGCTGACCCACCGCCCCGCAGGGGAGCTGCGACCCATGGAGCAGGAGCCGACGGACCATGTCCAAGGCCTGCGACAAGCGCAGAACCCTGAAACGCAGCAGGGCTTCGGCGACCTACGCCCGCAAGCTCACGACAACCTTGAGAGTCGGGCCGACCCGGCCCTGCCGACCCTGCCGACCCGACCCAGCACCATGGAGGCCGGGGACGACCTCTTTCCAGGCATCGGGCAAAGGGTCGATGAAGAGGTCGACTTTGTGCCACCCGATGGCTACGACGGCCATCAGGAGAAGGCGCGGCTGGACGCGCAGAGTGTCCCCTGTGCGCCACCGGTTGCTTCGGAACAGAGTGACCCGCTGTCCCCTGTGGCGGCGGCTCCAGCCTCGGCGCCCGATGCACCATGCGGGCACGGCGGGCCCGAAACAGCGACGCCAACGCTGAATGGCCGCTTCCACCTCCCCTCAAGTGCTGGCTGAGGTGCGCAACCAACTTATCCAAGCGGGTCTTGGATCAGGCACTCCGAACTTCGAGCAGTCCTACCTCGTTTTTGGCATACCCGAGCCTCCCGCTTATCTGCCACGCGCAGATACGCGGAGGCATGATGTCTGCCTGTGGGGCGACGCCCATGGCGTTTGGGGCCCCGTTTCTTACACCGACGGGTCTGGTTACGACTCAGGTGTTCCCGAGGTGCGCCCGAGGTGCGGAGATGTGGACAAGCTGTTGTGCAGCTTGATCATTACTCCTGGGTCCCAGTTAGGGCGCGGTTCGGGCCCCTTCCGTACTTGGCGCAGACTGTCGGCCGTGCTGAGAGGCACGCGATCAGGGAAGGGCTCGACGTTTTCCCTGGCCACCAGCGCTTCGTCACTGACCTGCTGGCGCTCGCCCAGTAAGGAGAGCGTTGGTGTCCCGAGCTCGAGCAGGGTCGTGCCAAGCATGCTCGAGCGTGGCGGGACATCTTCGCGGCCAGCCGCAGGCGCGCTCTGCGGGACCCCCCCCCTCAAGTTTCGATGGACGCCAGCGCACAGGTCCTTGGAGGAGCTTATGGGCACAGAGCCGCAGGAGCTGCGTGACTGGCTAAGCAACGGCTGGGCAGACTACTTCGCGCGCTGTGGTGCGGCCTCTCACGCACTGGCTGGGTAGGTAGCTGAGGCGGTAACAGCTGCGCTGAAACAGCACCGCAACGTCCTGCAGTTCACTTCGTGGGTGGCACTGCAGGTGGTGGCTCGCAAACAATGGGGATGCGACGTGGAGATCTCCAGACCACCTTGCGAGCAGGCCAGGCCCAGCGTGGTAGCACGCAGTACGGACCATGTCCTGGCTTACCGCGCCAGCCTCGGGCGGTACCGATGCACCCAATGCGGAGTCACGGCCGCAACGGGCTCCTCCCTCGAGTCGCTGCAAACTGGCTCTCATCGTTTATGTTGCCCTTCGCGTGTTGCCAGAGCTTTCAACGCCGAGTACTTCCGCGCCTTCGGCGAGGGCTGGGTTCTCTGCAGCGACCAGAGGGCCGGCATGGCCCTGGGCGCGGCCTTGGCGCTCCAAGGGAGCTCGCAGCCCTCGGCCCCCGCAGCCTTCTTGCCACCTGCCCTGGCAGTGGAGGTTGGGGACGCCTCCGCTGCGCTTGGGCACGACGTGTTCAGGGGCAACAGTGTTTGCTGTTGCAGGCGCTGCGGGTCTCTCTGTGCTGCGGGTGATGTCCGCGCAGTGCGGAAGCTTGGCTTGAGGTGCGATGGGCTCTCGCCCAACGAGTCCACGCGCCGCAACCAGCAAGGTGCGATCAGGCGCGTCGAGAGGGGCCTGGCGCCTCGTGCCCGACGTACCCCTGCAGCGCCGCCCCCGCGGGGAGGCTCCTCTTGCAGCCGCGCGGCGCGTTGATTGACTATGTCGTGATTCGCTGCCGTTCCGTGGTCGGCTGGTGGCACGGCGTCTTCTTCGGTGGCGACGCCTCCTTCGTCGGCGGCAAGGTGGCCTGCGTCGACGCGCCCCTGACCCTCTTCCTCTGCGAGTGGGTATTCCTCCACACTTTCTTAAACCTTGCCCTCTCCGCCAGCGCGGCGCGAGGGTGCCTCGGCGTAGTCCGTCGGGCGCGCGCCAGCGCGGCTGGCGGGGGGCACTCGAGAGGCGCTGCGCTCCTCCTCTTCCTCCTCCTCGCCCTCGCCCCCCCCCCTCCTCCTCCTCCTCCTCCTCCTCCTCCTCCTCCTCCTCCTCCTCCTCCTCCTCCTCCTCCTCCTCTCCTCCTCCTCCTCCTCCTCCCCTCCTCCTCCTCCTCCTCCTCCTCCTCTCCTCCTCCTCCTCCTCCTCCTCCTCCTCCTCCTCCTCCTCCTCCTCCTCCTCCTCCTCCTCCTCCTCCTCCTCCTCCTCCTCCTCCTCCTCCTCCTCCTCCTCCTCCTCCTCCTCCTCCTCCTCCTCCTCCTCCCTCCTCCTCCTCCTCCTCCTCCTCCTCCTCCTCCTCCTCCTCCTCCTCCTCCTCCTCCTCCTCCTCCTCCTCCTCCTCCTCCTCCTCCTCCCCCTCCTCCTCCTCCTCCTCCTCCTCCTCCTCCTCCTCCTCCTCCTCTCCTCCTCCTCCTCCTCCTCCTCCTCCTCCTCCTTCCTCCTCCTCCTCTCCTCCGCCTCCTCCTCCTCCTCCTCCTCCCTCCTCCCCCCCCCCCCCCCCCCCCCTCCGCCTCCTCCGCCGCCGTCCCACCCTGGGGGCGCGGGGCGGCTGACAACTGGAAGCCGCTGTCTGGGCCTTCGCGCGACGACGCGGGTGAGACACTGGTTGGATCGCCTGTGTGGCAGGGGTCGGCAGCTGCGGCTGCTGCCGGCCACGCGGGGCTGTCTACGCTCTGGAAGGACTGGGTGCGCGATGACATAGCGATGGCGTTTAGAACCTCGAAAGCCGATCGATGCGCAGGCACGATGGACAGCGCGGGTGGATTCGATGGCAATCGATGGCCCTATATATTTTCGTCCTCCTTTTCGTTGGACTGCTCCTCGTGCACCTCCTCATCCTTCTTGTGTCCCTCGTGCGTCCCGTCCTCTTCCTCCTCCTCCTTCCGGGGCTGCTTCGCTCCGCGGCAGCAGGCTGCGCGTCGGTAAACGCAACTACTTCAAACCCGACTTGGAAGTCCCCAAAGTGCTCCCGGGCGCCTCCTTCGGGCGTCGCTGCGGCCGACCGCTGGCGGCCCAGTCTTGCCGGCGCTCGCGGCAGTTCTCGACAACCAGGCCAGGGGCGCGGGCTCGGGGACATCGCGGAAGACGTCGGCGTCGTGGCACGCGGCGCACCGCTTCACCACGCCACATTCGTACCGAGCTGGTGCCTGCACGGGCTCGCAGCCATGGGCCCGATCTTCGGGGAAGGGTTCACAGTTATCCTGGCGAAGGAACCAGCCGCATGGTGAATACCGCGTTGAGTTTACCGCTTGCGGTGGAGCTCCCCATGGGGCCACGAAGCGCTGTATTGGGTGAGGGGGAAGCATGCGGCCGCGACCATCGGGGCCTTCGATGGAGATATTCATGGGGCTACGAAGCGGTGTATTGGACGGGGGGGACGCAAGGCCG